AAAACCACCGACCTAGTCTCCGAACCCGCCAAGAGATCCCGAGAGTTCGCGGCCGAGGCGTCGAAAAAAGCCGACGAGATCAAAACGGCGGCGCTTAAGCAAGCCGATCAGATCAAGTCCCTCTCCGTCTCGGAGATCATCCCCCCTCAGCTCTCCTCGCTCTCGATCGTCAATTCCGCCTCTGCCTCCGCCGTTGAGCCGCCGTCCCCGTCTGAACTCAAGAAGTTCGGAGTCACCGACGATCTCAGAGACTTCGTCAAGGGACTCACTTCCGATACCTTCAAGCACTTTCCGATCCAAGGTATTTGCTAATTTCAGCTCATTTGTTTTTTTGATTTAGCTCAATTACTTGAAATGAGCAAATGTGCGTTGTTCGAGTTGTTTCAGATGCAGCGGAGGAAGTCTCCGAGGTGCCGACTACGGCCTCGAATGTGAGGAAAGATCTGACGGAGTGGCAAGAGAAGCATGCAACTTTCGTTCTCACTACTGTTAAGGTCAGTTCGTGTTTCTCTATCAGTTTCAATTTTGATTCAACGCAATACGAGCACAGCGTTTAGGCTCAATGCAATACATGTGAGGTGTATTTCGAAATTTGATTTGCGGATATATCGTACAAGATGTTGAAGAAACGTGTTGTAACATTGTATTGATATCTTTCTGTACTTGTTGATTTTTTTTTTGGTTTCTTTTGTGAATCAAGTAGTTGAAGTGTTTTACATCTCTGCATAAATGCTGATTGAGCATCGATGGTTTGGAATTGAGTATCTTAAAGTTTAGTGCCTGATTTTTGCTGGTGCAGAATTCTTTCCTTTGTGCACCCAAATCAAAGCACGATGTACTAATGTGTCCTAGTTATTACTGATTACTTTCTTGCAGGAAATTTCGAGGTTGAGATATGAATTATGCCCACGTGTAATGAAAGAAAGAAGATTTTGGAAGATATATTTTACCCTTGTGAGCAGTCATGTAGCTCCGTAAGTAGCAATTCATTTCAGTTAACCATTGCTTAAATTGGCGGTTTAATCAAGCTTAAGTTAATGCCAATGTGCAATTATATTAATGAAAATCTTATGTGAATATATATGTGTTTGGGCTGATATAAGTGATCAATGCTATTAAACAAGAGTAGCAATCTTGTTTCAGTACAAGAGATACTCATGTCTTGTGACTGTATAGTTCATGAAAGATTTAAAGATGGTTATCAACACTTAGTGAAAAGAGGAAGCGCAAAGAATAGATCTAGACACTCTTTAGTGGGTGTAATTTTTAGCCTTTTGCTTATATGACTATTAACTTATGATCAGATATGAGAAGCAATACATGGAGGAGATGAAGGTCAAGGAAGCAGAGCAATTAAAAGATGATACTGTGAAGCCAACACCTGTAGTTGGAGGGACTGACCAAGCAGAAGGATCAGAAAAGAAGAAGTTAGCTTCCAAGTCATCATCAGCTGAGCAGGACTTGGATAGTTTCCTCTTGGGTGATCTGGAAGACAGTGATGGGGGTCCAGGTTTAGTTCCTATACTCTTTCACTTCTGGCCAAGTTCAAATACCATTCAATTTCTTTCATAGTGTAGCATGTGTATAAATTTGCATGACATGCTGTGTATAAATTCCCACCATATACCATTCAACTTGTTCCACTAAAATCACATTTCCATTGAATTTTCGTCTTCCATCCAATTAAGAAACTGAAATCCTTGAGCTGGTATGGAATGGCTAAAAGAAAGGTTGGATGAGGTTAGAGTCCCTTGTATCTTACATAAGCACCTTTTGAAGGCACAAGCAGGTGGCATGGTAACTAGCAATTGTATAATCCGGTGTGTAATAGAAATATGTTAATTAATTGAGGACCTGAAAGATTGAAATAGTTAATGAAAAACTGATGGACATGTTTCAAATTTCATGTCAATACAGTAAACCGGTGTTATTCTCATGAGCAGGTTATTTATTGTATGTTTTCTTTGATTAAAGGTCTATCCTTACCTAGTGAATCTGTGTATAAGCTGTGTTGTGGACAAATCCTTACTAGTCTTTAAGAGTCATACCTTTCCACATTTCCTTTCTAGTTTCCTTGAACTACTCTGCGACAATCTGCTCTTTCTCTAGGTTTTCCTTTTTGTGCACTTTACCCTGGTTTATTGACAATTTTGTACTTTCAGATGATGCTGATGGCGATGGTAGCTTTGATGATGATTTTGACAAGATTGAAAATTCGGTAAACTTCATTTAACCCATGACTCAACTATGCAACATTTTTTCTTTGTAAATTTCCAATTCTATGGCGTATCTTTCATGTATTTTTCTGTCACTTTTTACATTAACCTTCCACCTCAGTTTTACCACCTTGTTTGAAACTGCTTGCCGGGAATATTTGTGCCGTAAATAAAAGTACCGTGCGAATAACTTGTTCAATTTTAATGGAAACTTGCAGGATGTTGAAGATGAGAAGCATGCGAAGAAATGACAACTGCTACAGAAGAAAATATCGACCAGGCTTCTGGAAGACTGTAACAAATAGATGCCATATGAAGAAGGAAAGGACATCGAGCAGTTTTCCGTTATCTCAAATTTTTTAATTTTTTAGTTGTAGAGTTGATTACTTTGTAAAACTCGAAGTGAGAGATGCCATTTAAAGTCCATTCGTTAGTTATATTTTCCCTAGACAGTGACGGATACTGATGCCTGTTTGTCTCCGAACGGGGTCTACCCTATTGCTTTTCCTGTACAGAACAGATGACCTGATTATGTTAAATATGCTTCTTTTTACATGGCCCATAAATTCGCTTCTACTCGATCATAGTACTTCAGGTGCAAGATGTTCTAAATCCCTTGACCTACAAGCTTCTTGCAATGACTTGTAGAAGTTTTAGTAAATGAATTATGAAATATCTCTGGAAGTTATTATTATTGTTTTTTGTCAAACCTCCAGAAGTTCTATATCTGCTATCACCGCTAAGAAAAAAAGAAAGGGAGGATGACTCGTTATCTATAACTTCGGACTCTGTTGGAGTAGGAAGTAGTAACTATGGTTATACTCATAACCAACCATTTCCCTACTCTTCATATCTCATTCCTGTTGGGATGGAACCAAGCGACTCATGGAAAGAATCCGAGACTCGATTTTCAAATGATTTTGCTTATGGACAACGTCAACCAATCTCGAATCCATATGGGTGGCATGTTAACAATTACATGCAAAACTCTTTTGGGAATTTATCATTTGATGACTACTCTTCAAAATATACTTACTTTACACATAGAGATGATGAAGATAATGAAAATTTTGAACCTCATAGGAACTCTATGTGGTACTAAGTCACTTATGTATCTTACCATGCAATGTATAAAGTGTAAAATATTGTAGTAATTCATTATATATAAATGATTATGGTGTGTTTAATCTTCTTTCATTAATTACTACATATTTTCTACACTTACGATGTTTGCTAACTCGCTATATAATCAACTTAAATCAGTTAAATCCATCATGCAATGCATTTCCTTCCAATTTTTTGTGATAAACTAATAGATAATTGACTAAATAAACATCCTGCAAAGTTTCAATAAAAATTTCCGTGGTTTTTATTCAATTTTTTCCGATACCGATAATATCCCAATATTTCCAGCGATATTTCTGTGTTTTTTGACTTCCGATATTTCCGATACCTCCGATATTTAAGACCTTGGTCATTTACATATAAAACTCCCTCTGGTTTCAGTCTCTTCGCTTGGACCTGGAGGATTCATGGCTCTTCTTTCTGTCGTCCTTAAACCCAAATGCTCAATCAAAAGGTCCTCTTTGTCTCTATCTTTTGGCTTATTCGCCAACATATCCTCTTCCCTCTTCTCTACACTCTGCAGAGGCCACCCCTTCTCACCACCACCCCCGCCAGCCTCACCTCCGCCAGTCCCAAAGAAAGTCCCTTTCACAGTCTCAGTTCATGGGAGATCGTGGCAAGACCCCTACCACTGGATGTCCAACACCAACGACCCTGATCTCTCTGAGTATCTTAACAAAGAAAACGCATATTCTGAAGCTTTCATGGCTGACACTGGCAACCTGCAACGCACTCTTTTCTCTGAGATGACACGTCGGATGCCCACCAAGATTTCCACTCCTCCTGAGCGCTGGGGACCCTGGTTTGTTCATTTCCCACCTACCCATTTCATATCCTTGGAAAATTTGCCTGCCTTCTTACTCTAGAGTATGTGAATTTTCCTTTTAAGAAAATAATTTTGAAATTTGCATTGTGCTATAATAAGAAAAGGCTGCAACTTTATTAAAAAGAATACACATTACTACATTAGCAAAGGAAAATGTGGGAGGAGGAAGTGGAAGTGTATAACTAACAACTTTGCGAATGTGCCAATGAAAGTTTTTGGTTGTGCTTCTATTTTGTTTAATAATATATATTTAAAACATGAAAATAACTTGTCAATAATATCGTTTGTTAAACTCGAACAGGTTGTATTACCAATACATTCCAGAGGGGAAGGAATACCCGGTTCTCTGTAGAAGATTAGAAGTTGAAAAACTTAATTGGGTTAAGACTTTTCTCCGCTATGCAAAAGGAGAATTTGGAATTGGAAGGGAGGAAATTTTGCTTGACTGGAATGAAATTGCAGAGCAATATGGAAAGCTTCTTTCTTACTTTCATACCTTCATTGTCAATATTTACTGAGTTATACGCCGTATTTGGTTTATATGCACATTTTCTTTTGTTTTTAACCTGGTATATTTTCATTACATCAGTGATTTACTGAATTTATGTACCTTAATTGCAGGTTATGTGCATGTTGGTACATGTCGAATTTCACCAGACCACCATTATCTAGCTTACACACTAGATACTAAGGGTAATGAACGATTCATGCTTCAAATTAAGGACCTAAGAAGTGGATGTATTATCCCCAATGTACGAGTTGATGATGTTGTTAGCTTGGCATGGGCCCAAGATGGGAGAACTCTGTTCTTTACACTATCAGATGAGACTCAACGACCTTACAGGCATACTTCACCTCTGTTACGTATCCATTCTTTTCTTGAGATGATAGTATTATCTCACCTTTTTGTCTTTTTGGCAGAGTATGCTGCGCAAAACTAGGATCTGATGATATTGAAAATATCTCTGTATTTACAGAAAGTAATCCCAGCTTCTGTGTGGATATAGCAAGCACAAAAGATGGCAAGTTTATAACTGTCAATTCAAACTCAAGGACTTCATCTGAGGAAGGAATTTTACTATTTAATTTTTTAAATTTATTTATGGAGTATTTACTTTGAAAACATTCTCCTTTGGCGAGGCTAATTTTTGTGGCTTAACTCACACAGGTTTATTTGATAGATGCTGCCAACCCATTAGATGGTTTGCAGAAAGTTTGGAAGCGTGTTTCTGGTGTACAGTTTTTTCTGGAACATCACCACGGATTATTTTATGTTCTTACAAATGCTCCTTTGAGTGAAAGTAAAAAGTGGTCTGGTGAAGGTTATTACCTAGCTAGCTGCCGTCTTCAAGATCTATTATCATCTAATTGGCAGGTAAACTCTGTTCTTTTTCATGAATCTTAAATATGGACGTATGGTGTTCTCTATTTTGTGATGTTAACTATACTTTAAGTTCTTCACTATGGAATCTCTCTTGTATTTTCATGTCCCATTTCTTATAGTGACATACTTTTTTCGTTTTAGAATATCTTCCTTCCAAGTAAAGATTTTAGCATACAAGATATGGACATGTTTGATGGACATCTGGTCCTTTCTCTCAGTAAGAAGGGTTCTTCTATGTTTTGTTCCATTGATTTGCCTATCGATGTTGATTGTAAGGTAATGATCTCTCTCTCTCTGCTTAGTTAGATTTTTGGTTATGGATAACATACAAAAAGTATAATGCACACAATGTTGCTACTTTTATCTCTTCTACATACAAATACATTTCTCCTTAATTTGCTACGTTTATTGGCTTGATTGGCAGCACCTTTTGGAGCCTGAAGATCTTAATGCATGGTTTTTCCCTATGCCCCCAAATTCATGTACTGTTGTTTCAGGTTCGAACCATGATTTCCAGAAATCAGTATACCGTGCTGTGCTTTCGTCTCCTGTGGTACACTTTATAAGTTTGATTATGAGCGTTTTATTACTTCAAACCCTTCATTTGACTTTCCTGCATGTATGATTCTTTGTCTGTTCTTTGGAAATTTGCAGATGCCTGATGTAGTTGTTGACTACGACATGTCAAGCAGGAGATTCTCAATTGTGCAGCAAGAGGAAGTAATACATTTTTGTGATAGAACAGGCCCACCAACTAATCAGCTAGATATGAATCAAACTTTTGACACACAATATGAGAAGGAAGAAGATGTGCAGATAAGTGAATGGCAGAGATGGAAGGATTATTCTGATACATATTGTTGTGAGAGGAGGGTAGTTATTTCCCATGATGGTGTTAGAGTTCCTTTGACCATATTGTACTCTCATACAACCTGGCATAAGGATCAGTCGCCTGGCCTTCTACAAGGCTATGGAGCATATGGGGAGGTTTTATATGAAAGCTGGTGTGCAGAGCACATGAGTTTACTTGATCGGGGATGGGTTGTGGCATTTGCTGATGTGAGGTTATTTTTTTTTTCCCCTTTTAATGAAAGATCAATTGAAACAACAAAGCTAAATTGATGCATTGAATTAAACCATTAATGTGATGGTGTGTTTCAGCCTTCAAGTTGCTTTTGTTTTCTTTTGTTAGGGGAGGGGAAGGGGGGTGGAGCTAAAGTTGGATGTAATTTTTTCTTTTTAAAAAATGACTATCTCTGTTTTTTTTTTTTTTTTGGCTCAAGTTGAACTTGTGTATGTGCAACTTTCTCATCTTACATAATATCATGTAATTTTGATTTTAGTTATTTCAAAGTCTGTCCAATATCTTAGTTCATCTGCTTCAATACTTTAATATCAATTGTGTGTTTAAAACTTAAGCATATAATTATGCTCTAGCCTAGAATAAGTTCAATCTGTGATGTATTCTAAAATTTGTATGCTCTAGCCTAAATCCCGTGTGATTGTACTTTCTTAGCTGAAAAAAAATGTGCTGTTGTTGCTTGTCATTTTTTCTTTCTGGGGGTTAAATAATTTGACGTGGTTGTATGGACAGGGGTGGTGGTGGAGATTCTTCATGGCATAAATCTGGCAGTGGGTCGTATAAATTGAATTCAGTCTATGATTTTGTATCATGCGCAAACTACCTGATTAAAGAGGGCTATGTACATAAAGATCGGCTTGGTGCTATTGGACATAGTGCTGGAGGTCTTCTTGTCGGGGCAACTATCAATATGTACCCAGACCTCTTTTGTGCTGCTATTTTGAAGGTTAGTGTTTTAAAGCAAAACATTTACCGTCTTTGTCATTAGTAGTACTCTGGGTCCAGCCCTTCAGCAATATTTCTTTTCTTTCATGGTAGAGAAGAAATGCATTGTATCTGCCGTTGCTAATTTGAATCGATTTTTGTGTCAAATTGTTACATTGTTGGTACTGATGTTTTGGTGATATTTTTTTTTCAGGTTCCATTTCTTGATATATGCAACACTTTAATGGATCCGAGTTTGCCTCTCACCATTCTGGATTATGAAGAATTTGGAAATCCTCAAATACAGTCCGCATTTGAGCATATCTTCAGTTATTCACCTTATGATAACATTTCTCAAGGCAGTTGTTACCCTTCAATGCTTGTTACAGCGTCTCTTCATGACTCAAGGTAGGTTCATCTCATGCTTTCTGTCATACTAGTTACTTGCATTAATAAATCCACACACGCACACACACACATTCCCATATACTTACGGTGGTTGCATTTTATAAATTAATATCCATTTCTCAGGGTTGGGTTTTGGGAAGCTGCCAAATGGGTGGCCAAAGTTCGAGATGGTACATGTTCTGGTTGTTCTAGTTCAGTCATTCTGAAGACAAATATGGCTGGAGGGCATTTTGGCGAAGGTGGACGGTATCGTCAGTGTGAGGTAGCTGCTTATGATTATGCGTTTCTAATCAAAGCTATGGGGATGCTGAAGACTGAAAAACAAGACATGCAATGTACTGTGGTCACAAAAGAATCAAAGGTAGGTTTCACTGAAGTCCCTGGTGAAGAGTGAAGTTTCCAGTATTTTGCTGAGGCTTTGAGTAAGTTCGAACAAACGAGAGCATTTTCCCTCTTTGTGCAATATGTATGAGTTTTTCTTTTCCTCTGTACAGAATCATAGCTACAATGAAGTTGCTAGGAGATCCACTTCCTTCTCGTCTACAGTAAAGGACTGAAGCTAGATTGATAAGCTTTTCTGAGTTAAGGCATCCCCATTTTCTTCTTGACCAGCGCCGCAGGACCAAGGTGGCATCTGATTTGCACATCCAAGCAGAACCATGAAATCATATTTGGAAGTGTTATTTGATTTAGTATTGGCTAAGGATCAGTGAGCAATTTCTGTACTAACACAAGAATGCACTTTTAAGTTTAGACTGCTTAAATATAGCCTATAGGTAGTTCTTCAGGGATGATTATACACCTGCTAATTTTATATTAATTGATAAATCGATTGATGATATAGTATTTTCTTGTTATAAATGAAATAAATAAATGCAAGAGGTATTCAAAGCAAAACGGATTCTTGGAATTATTATTTGATTGCAAATTAATTCATGGAATTATTATTATTATTATCTGATGGGTTCATGGACCCCCCCACCCCTCTCCCCACCATAAAGAAATATGCATTTTTCTTCAGGTTGAAATTATTGTCAAAAGGGACCCATAACGATTGTGCCATGTCTCTGTCTCAAATGTTGAATCCCTAGAGAGTCTGATATTGCACGTTTTGAATGTGTAAAGATGACCTAATTGCATGTAAAATACAATCAACTGCAAAGGTGATTGGTCCAAACGTTCAAGATTGAAAACTGGATTTTGATTGCTCAAACGTAACAATGAAAATTGACACCACCTTATTACCTGTGTTACTATTTGTTTTCAATCATAAATTTGGGCACATAACTATTGATGGTTGCAATTTCTCCTGTTTTTGGTTGGGCAATATTAATGGTTATATTGCAGGTCCCTGTTTTTTCATTTAAGCCTCAAGCAAAATAACTGGAAAATAGAAAGAAAGAATGAATGAAAATGTCAAATTAATTCCTCAATAAATCATAACCCTCTAATTTCCTTCTTTAAAAGTGTTATGTCTTTTGACTCTTGCAGCTCACTCACTCCTAAACCTACACTGTCCTAAGTTTAACTCTGAGCCAAACCCAACATTGCATCTGTTCTTCTGATTTAAAGTACATTCAGAATCATATATATATGTTCTTTTGTGACACATACAACAATACTATATCTATATCCTAAACTAATTATCATATACTTGTATATCCACTATATCAAAGTTTTCAGGAAATGGATAAAAAGGATGACCCGAAGGACCCCGGATTCGGGGAGGTGAAGAAGGAGAAGCCGTTAAACAGTAAGATCAGGTACTTGAGGTACACTGGAGCCATGAAAGCTGAAGTGTTGAAGGGTTTGATTGCTGGAGGGATCAAAGCTGAAAAGTTGAAGACTTTTATAAATTGGAGCATCAAAGACCAGAAGCTAAAGGGTTTGGTGATTTCTAGGACACGACTGGAGCGGCTGAAATTGTGGGCGGCACGAGCCACAACCGTGCTGCTACTATGGGCTATAGCAATGCAGCTCAAGGCATTGGGAGAGAACTTGCTGCCGCGGATATCTAAAAGCTCTTTTCCACCTCAAAGTATGGCAGCCTTCTCATGCATGGCATGCATATGCTTCACCATATTATTATTTTCTGTGAAAATGTAACCTTTTTGTTTGTGATTATTTTTCAGGGGTTTATGAGAACAATGGATATTTGATGGTTTCATCCAATGGAGGACTAAATCAGATGCGATCTGGTGTAAGTAATTAATTTGGTCTTTCAATAATTGTAAATAAATTAAATTTGACCATGGTCCATGAATTAATTTAATCTTTGTTACCATTGCTATATATGCAGATATGTGACATGGTAGCTATTGCAAGATATATGAATGTCACGCTTATAGTTCCTGAGTTGGATAACACCTCCTTCTGGAACGACCGCAGGTGAGGCTATAGCTGGAGCTTCATCTTAATTATATAATAATATATTTATGCTGTTAATTAATTTGATCTAACCGATATTAATTATATGTGGCAGTCAATTTGAAGACATATTTGATGTGGATTATTTCATTGCATCATTGAGAGACGAGGTTCGGATATTGAAAGAATTGCCTCCTGAGCAGAAGAAAAAAGTGGAATTAGAATCCCTTTATTCCATGCCCCCCATTAGTTGGTCTAAAATGACATACTACTATAACACGGTTGCTCTCTCTCTCTCTCTCTCTCTCTCTCTCTCTCTCTCTCTCTCTCTCTCTGTGTTTAAATATTAATTGTGTTATATGCATACTTAACTACACAGATCATTCCTCGCATGAAAACATACGAAATTGTGCACTTCACTAAAACTGATGCTAGGCTTGCCAATAATGGGATTCCTGAAGAGGTTCAAAAGCTCCGGTGCCGAGCAAACTACCAAGCTCTGAGATTTGCTCGTCCAATTGAGGAGCTTGGCAAGAAAATCGTTCGGATTCTCAGGGAAAGAGGCCCTTTCTTGGTCCTTCATCTCAGATATGAAATGGACATGGTAGCATTCTCTGGCTGTACTGAAGGTTGCAATGAAGAAGAGATTGAAGAGACCACCAAAATGAGGTAACTGATTAATATACACACTGTACATTATCTTAAAAATTCCTCTTGTCATGCAGTTTGGCATGTTATGTTGTCAGATTGTCAATATGAACCATCGATTAAATAAATTCTTTTTATATATGTAAGATATGCATACCCCTGGTGGAAAGAGAAGGAAATAGATTCAGAGAAGAAAAGGAAAGCAGGATTGTGCCCTTTAACACCTGAAGAAACTGCACTAGCGTTGAGGGCACTTGACATTGATCCTAATATCCAAGTCTATATTGCTGCTGGAGACATATACAGGGCTGAGAGGAGAATGGCACCTCTGAAAGAAGCTTTCCCAAACTTGGTAATTAAACTTCATTTTAATTCATTTCAATTCATATGTAATTTTGGTAATTAAAACTTGGTTTCTCACTAAACAGGTGAAAAAGGAGACATTGGTGGAAGCATCAGATCTTGTGCCCTTCCAAAACCATTCAAACCAAATGGCAGCATTGGATTATTATGTGGCGATAGAAAGTGACATTTTTGTGCCTACATATGGAGGCAACATGGCAAAAGTACTGGAAGGGCACAGAAGATACTTGGGGTACAAGAAAACCATTCTTCTAGACAGAAGGGCTCTGGTTGATCTGATAGACCAGTACAACAATGGAACTCTGAGCTGGAACCAATTCTCAGTTAGAGTGAAGGTTGCTCATGCCGACCGCATTGGAAACCCTACTACAAGATTGGAGGTTCCAGGAAAACCCAAAGAAGAAGATTACTTCTATACAAACCCTCAGGAGTGTTTGCTATGAAGCTATGAACCAAGAAGACTAGTAATATTTCTCAATGTAATATTTTGTGTTGTGATAAAAAATTTCTTTACCTTTCAATTTCATGGGGGTAAGTTGGGATTAATTTATGGGATCCTTTTGGGGGCTGGGGATTCAAATGTATTTTCACAAGTACTATATTTTACTGCAAAATTCTGAATGCTGGGGAATCAAATTGTAAGAGATTCATGCAAAGCACAATTAAGTCAAGATTTGAGCAAAGTTTTCTTGGAAATTTATAAAGTTTTGCATTCTTCATTTTTAATTATGAGGAAATTAAGTTTTTGTTTCAAGGATGATGTGTCAACTTTAAATCTCTTGGATTCAATTTTAATGAGGTGTCGTACGGATGGAAAAGATCAAGCATATTGTAACAGAGAAAATCCAAGCAGAGATCCAAATCTATGATTTGGTACTTACATACATATACATTGAAAAGCTTCTCTCCTGCCTTGGAACTTCGAAGTTTTCGTAATCAAATGGTAGAGAGTAAAATTTTCTCCTGCCTTGGAAATCCAATCCAACCTCATCCTAAACTCAGCATTAGAGCCCAAATCATCTAAGCTATCCGTGAGCCGTGTAATTTGTTGGCGCAGATCAGTTATTAAATAAAAGAGTATTTTTCCATTTTCGAGATATTTTCTACTATTATTAGTATTTCTGTATGGAGAATCAACAAGAATATTATTTATAATAGGTAGGTCATGTCCCTATAATCATATTACATCAACAAAGGTAATTCCTTATCAATGCATTGTCCTTTTCAGTTAATTATTACATTTATTATTTTTTTTAAAGTCAGAGAAGGGTCTTGTTTTTTGCGCCAAACCATAGAAATATCATTGATAAAAGATAAAAGGTTTGATTACAACAGCCACACACAGACAACCAATCACTTAAACCCATACTTGACTCAAATAAGGATCTAATACAAATTTCAATATGGTACAAAAGATAATCACGGCGATGGTACTTCCCAAATCACAGAACTGAGGGCTTGATTTGAATCTGGCAACAAACCAATATCAATATGTCACATGTTGTCCATATTGAGATGAGCCACAACTCTTTTTAAACCGGCCATATCAATCAACATTACTTTTTTCCTTTTCGGCCTTAAATAAAAGATTCCTCATTAATAGACCCCAAACACCTATCGGTGTCTTTAATAAGCAAGCCATTTGCTATGTGCTGTATTATATATTGATACGTAATTGGCTTGTCAACTTTAAATTCGGTTTGCTTCATATATTACTCCTTTGATGTAAATGGTATTGCACACAAAATTGCCATGATTCACATTATAATTATAATTAAATATTCTATAAATAATAAATAAATAAAACCTATCATCCATCGAGTTCACAATCATATTAGTTTTTTTCTTTTCCGAAAGGCAAAATCAAAATAATTTAGATTTATATGTAAAAAAAACCAATCTCAGTGTGTTTGTCCAAAGCATTTAGGAACGGAAATATATGTAAATTCAACCTTCGTCCCCACATTTTTCACCAAGTCCAGTACCTATTCTACAACATATTTTAGGGTCGCTCGACGCTCATATAAAAGAGTTAGAAAAAAATTAGTTTTTTTTCTTCTTCTTTTTGTGCTCCCATCAATATGATATTGATGACTCGATGTATACTAGTTTATGAAAATATGCTTGTCGAACAGTTATTGTTGTGCATTTGATCTCTATTGGCAAATTGAATGGTGATGCCAATTGGCTTACATTTGCCTGGAAATGGCTGATGTGTGTGTCTCTGATGGATGACTTGTTCTTCATTTGTTTTCAGGCCTAAATAATGGTAATGAATAATCCAAACTCTCAATATTTATGAGAGCGTAAAATAGAAACCAAGTACATGTCTTCCCTTTAAAAGCAGCAATATACAAAACAGCTGGTTGGAAAAACCACCCCAATTAGGAGGCACCTTTTTATTAATTCCTCAAAAACCAACCTCAAAATTTCCATCTTTTATATTTTCCGTGTATAATTTGTCATTACAACAAAACCGTACGTGTTTTTGTTTCTTGTACATGCATAGTGTTGTGTGGTGGAGAGATGGACAAAACAAAAGTTGCAGGTTTTGAAGAGTCTGAGTTTGGAGAGGAAAAGGTGAAGCAGTATAAAATGGAGCACTATCTGAATCACTTTGGAGGAATCAAAGTGGACAGAATTGTAGGAGTGTTCAATTTCAAAGGGGAGAGGCTAACGAGCTTGATCATTGCACAGCCGAAATTATGCAGACTCAAGCTCTTTGCCTTTGCTGCCACAACCATTTTGCTTCTCTCTGTCTGTGCAGTGCAGTTGAGCACGCTCAGCGACATCATAAAGCCCCGGGTCTTGATGTTCCGCTCTAACTCTCAGCCTATTGCTCCGCCGCAACCACAAACAACTGAAACTGAAAGTGAGTCCACAACTTTCTCCTAAAGTTAGGAATCTTTGTTATGCCAGCTGATAATTAGTTTGATATACATTGTTGGCCGGTTCTTTGATATCTTCGCCATCTTAATAATTAAAATTCTAGGGGATTATGAGAATAATGGATATCTGATGGTCTCATCAAATGGAGGGTTGAATCAAATGCGAGCTGGTGTGAGTGATTTTTATACTGATATCTCAGTCTCAATTTGCATATTTATACTTGGAAATTCAAGTAATGCATACATGCCCTTAAAATCTACACTGCAGATTTGTGACATGGTAGCTATTGCAAGGTTTATGAATGTCACACTTATAGTTCCTGAGTTGGATAATACCTCCTTTTGGAATGATCGCAGGTCAGTCGAATTTAAAAACTCCGCCCTCTTGTCTTTAACCTGAAGAACCTTAATTAACATATAGATTATCAAGTTTAGTAAATTTGACTAAGTTAAATACTTAACATGGCAGTCGGTTTGAGGACGTATTTGATGTGGATTACTTCATATCATCGCTGAGAGATGAGGTTCGGATATTGAAAGTTCTGCCTCATAACCAGATCAGGAGAGTGGAGATAGCTACTCTCTATTCCATGCCACCTGCTAGTTGGTCTAACATGTCATATTACGACCAAGTGGTTGGTTCCTAATTCCTGTTTAAGTATAATTAATCATGGTATTTTGTGTTACCAAACTTAATGTTATGATTAATCTTTGGATATAATCTATGTGTAAACAGATTCTTCCTCGGATAAAGAAGTATGGAGTTCTGCATTTTACTAAAACTGATGCCAGGCTTGCAAATAATGGGATCCCGAAAGAGGTTCAGGAACTGCGGTGCAAAGCGAATTACAAGGCTCTGAGATTCACTCCTCCCATTGAGGAATTGGGGAAGAAGATTGTTCGGATTCTGAGGGAAAAGGGTCCATTCTTAGTTCTTCATCTGAGATATGAAATGGACATGTTGGCATTTTCTGGTTGCACTGAGGGTTGCAATGACAAAGAAATTGAAGAATTGACAAATATGAGGTGAGAGACCACCAATCTTAACTTCACTTTCTCAAGCTCGTATTTATGAATAAAATTTAATTTTTACACGTTATATGTCCAACAGGTTTGCTTATCCATGGTGGAAAGAGAAAATAATAGATTCTGAAAAGAAAAGAAAAGCTGGGTCATGCCCTTTAACTCCTGAGGAAACTGCCCTTGCATTGAGGGCATTGGATATTGATCCCGGCATCCAAGTTTACATCGCTGCAGGCGATATATATGGAGGAGAAAGGAGAATGACATCTCTGAGATTAGCCTTTCCCCATATGGTTAGTTGCTTGAACCTTAAGAAACTATTATATATGCATGTGTATGAAATGTGTTATTGTTGTGTGAAACAGGTTAAAAAGGAATCATTGCTTAGAGCCTCAGACCTTGAGCCCTTCCGCACACATTCGAACCAAATGGCGGCATTAGATTACATTGTGTCACTGGAAAGTGACATCTTTGTTCCTACTTATGGAGGAAACATGGCAAGAGTTGTTGAGGGTCATAGAAGGTATCTACATATATGTTATCAAAAGTTTCTTCATTACTTGTATTAATTTCTTTCTCACTAACAATTAATATCAAAATATATATTATATGTACAGGTACTTGGGATTCAGGACATCAATTCGTGTAGACAGAAAGCTTCTGGTGGATTTGATAGACCAGTACAAGAACGGAACTCTGAGCTGGGATGAATTTTCCCAGGCAGTGAAAACAGGGCATGCTGATCGCATGGGCATCCCAACTCACAGATTGGAGATTCCTGGCAAGCCCAAGGAGGAAGAAAATTTCTATAATAACCCAGAGGAATGTTTGCCGCCAATTCCTAAAAAACCAAAAAGTCTGTAAATATTTACATGTTACATGTGCCATTAGATTCCACTCCCCAATGACAAAAAGTCTGGGATGTTTTCTTTTCCTTTTATTAACGCAATTTTGCTATCCAAATACTCAAAAGTGTAAGGTTATTCACAGAAAAGCTGAAGGTTCCTTGCACTGCAGGTTCTTCACAATGAAGATAGTTTCATCAGTAAATTCAATGACTGAAAAAAAACAAACAGATGATGAACTCCAATGAGACAAAATTCTTGCCACTTCATACAAGCATGCCGTGTCCTGAATGTTTGCTCTAAACCAATAATGCCCAGGACACAAACTACCAACTCAATTACCAAGAAATTGGCCCTGAGTGGCTCCATTACATTAGAAATAATTATGTACGATACAGCTAAATTACGGGTAATGGGATCCCCTAAGATGGGTTACTCAAAGAAATCTATAAATTATGGAAACGGCTCTAAACACGAGTTCAATGAAATAGTGTTTTAAAATTTTTAAATAAAAAAAACATACCACCCCATGTACACTAACCAGAAGATGACACTATGACATCCCAAATCATAACAAAAGAGTAAAATCTGGAAGAAATCAAGACAGAGGAAACCCCGCACTAGTTTTATGTCTTCATGCGCTTATGAGCTTGATCTGAGTCCTCTCCACTGCCAGCATCCCTAAAATGTGCCACTGTTTGATTGCTTGAATGGGGAATCTCATGATCCTGGAAAGTAGTGATCAAACTATAAGATTATCCAGAATGAGAGGTTGACAGATCCATAAGAATGGATGAAAAGAGTGTTGCAATTTAAACTAAACAGACCCACATGCTTTTCGAAAGATGGCTAATGGAGAGAGTTTTCAGGGCAGTGGAAGAAAAGAAAACAAAAGAAATGGAACCCTTTATACTTTTCCAGTTCTTCAGAATAAAATTTACTTGCCATTTCTTTTGGCAAGCAGGAGAATAAAGAATCCAGGTGCTTTACAGGTAGAAGAACCCAAACCCTGCTTACCTACCAACTCCACCATAAGAACAAAACTCAAATACCTAATATGTACCTTAGAAGCAGGTGTTCCAGAGGATAGCCCTCGGTTCGCACGATTTCCAAGATCAATCTGCACTGAGACACTAGCCTGTGACAGATCAACACCAGCACTCTGCAGTGCTTGATTCAGAGAGTTTAATAACCTGTTCATCATCAATTTTACGCCTGTTACCGTCTTATAACGCAGGACACAAGCTATATAAAAACCTCTCAGCATATAACAGAAATTTTTCATAATTTTTTTTAATGTTTACCAAAACCATAAATCCTATAAATATAGCATGAGTACCCACCCTTGTGAGTAAACACTTGAGATGCTTATTGTGCCACCTTCAATTGTCAGCTCCTCCTGTTGATTCAGTGTATCACTAGCACTAGTGGTGGGGCACTGAGTTGATTGGGCATCAGAAACTGGTCCCTGAAGAGGATGGGCAAGTATACCATCACTTCTGACAGGGGCAGTCATGTTAACCGGCAGAGGCATAGGCAGAGGAATTGCCTTGTTCACTATCTCAGGTTGCCGATCCATAATTTTGGAAGCAACATCCCTGACAGGATCAGATTCTACTGGATTCTGCGTGCTATTTGCAAGCATGTTCGGGGTGATAGAAATGCTATTTTCATCAAATTTTCCAGGAAATGGTGACACTGCACCAGTATCATTCTTTCCAGCCTGAGGATGACCCACAAAACTCTGCACACGCCAGTGACTATTTCTCTGCTTCACGCAGGGTAGGGTGTAAGTATGTTAGATCAAGAAGTATCTTAAACAGGAAATTAAGTGCCATATTCAGAAGCTATCCTCATTGTGCCCGAAAACATGCATCAGAAGCAGCTTAATATAATTCCGCCTTATCAGAAATTGAGCCCATTCCATAGTTACCCAATAACTCAACACATTATGCAATTAATCAGTGACAACACCTCCAAAAAGGAAAAAAAAAAAAAAAAGTTATCACTACTGTTGAGCTCAAGACAAGGCATTAATGTTTCCGTACTCTTGTAAAGCTTTATGGTTTTTATGCAGGAAAGCAAGCAATAAGATCCTCTCAAAACCCTAACACCCAAATAAAACAAAGATCCTCTCTAGTTCAGGATAGTATAATCGCATAGATCAATCCTAGTTCTAAAGAACGCACATATACAGCAATTTAACACCTGGCTTTGAGCATACAGGTGGACATAGCACCTTAACACCCAGACTACATAAGTGGGCAAAAGTCAGAACATTACCCACGGCATTAACTTTGTGGGCTCAGGACTCCACCCCTGGTATGAACCTTCATATTTTTGGACTTTTCCTTGTAAATATTGTACATACTCAATCACCTGCCAAAAAAAAAAGTGATAACCCATGAACTACGCTTAAGTACTGTGCTTGTAAAACAAGTTTAAAAAATTACACAGTTTATCCACACACAAACAACAGTACCTCAAGCAGGAATGATGCCGTATCTCTCTTTTGATCACTATGGGGTATTAAATCTCTCAATATCTGGAATCTGTAAGAAAAAGATTAAGCTCCCTCAAGCTCTATTGACAATCAATCATACATTTCTTGTTAAAGCAACTCATACCCTGCACTACCAATTCTTAACATCAGAACTTCAACATCCATGATGTAACCACCAAGTGGCACGTCAACACTCCACAACAAATGGACGAATTCCCCCTTGAATAAAAGAAAACCATGCAAGCTTCAAACTTTATCTACTTTATAGAACAGGAACCACTCAAGCAATTGACTTGTTAAACAAAAACATTTATAATCACAGGTAAACAAGTAAATGGTTAAATTGGCATCATCCGCTAAGCAGAATTACCATCCGTACAAACATCAGAAACACTTCCTAACTAATAACACCAACTAATTGTTGAATGATGAGAAGTGCGCAATGATCTATGAATATACCGCCGGCCCCGCCCTTTCTGTTTCGAAGCAATTACCCCTTGACTAGATTAAATTTCAAATGAGAATTTGATGGAAAGCAAATGCAAATAAAGCATACCTCTCGTTGATCTTACTCCTCCTTCGCTGCTCCGTGACTGAATGTTTCGATCGTATAGCACTAGCCTTATCGTTGTTCTTGGCATCTGGTTTCCATGATCCAAATTCCGAATTTCAAATTACAAACTAGCCTTATCGTTGTCCGCTCAAAACATATGAAGATGAAATCTTTTGTGCCGAATTACAATTGCCAAAGCAGTAAAGCTAAAAAACATATCGATGGATCTACAAATACGAAATACCCATGTGTAAAAAGAAGGTGGGTAGAGATAAAAAGGTCACCTTTGCTGTTGGAATTGGAAGAAGGGCCCTCTTTTCTGGAGACAAATTCCTCGTCGTCGTAGTCATCCTCCTCCTGATTGCCTTTGGCTAAGGTTCTCATCCTCCTTCTTTGTGAATTGAGATGGGCCTGGATTTATATTCCAAGATTTTCTGCACGAATCTGAAAAGCACCCCAGATAAGAAGAAAATCTCAGAAATGTCAACACCCAAAGGTGCAATTGGAGATTTGAGGAGACTGAGAGTGTGCTTTTTGGATGGTTGATTGAGAATTGAAGTTGGATGAGGAATTTGAGTTTGGGTGTATTTGTTTTTCCGACTGAGCAAGAACAAGGCACCACCTGTGTATGTTTAATTAAGGCAGCAGCAGCTTACACTGCTGTTTCTGTTTGGGCTCTCTGCATTGTGACCTGTGTGTGTCACCATGACTCGTTTGCGCGAACTTGATGGAGTGAGACTACCATGTGGGTGACCTCATGCGCTTCCCGTGAGGTCACTTAATTCGCGTTTCCTTTTCCTTTTTCTTTTTCTTTTCTTTTTGGGGTATTATTGTCACGATGTAATGAACGACTAACAATTCACATGTGTTGTTTAAGAAAATAAATAAATAAATAAATACTTCCACAAAACAGAATATATATGGTGATTTTCTAAAAAATAATATTAAATATATAAACTTAGTACACTAAACTTATATAATTTGTAAATAAATCATATGCAAAATAAACGTACAAATAAAATACTACCACATCAGTTAGTATCTTGTTTCAACCCGCCGTAAACCTAATGAGTTATTATTTCAATTCAATCTTATATGCTAAACGCGGTCTAAAATTATCTTTTTTATATAATAATGATTATTTAATTCGTTGTTACTCATGTGAACTGACTAATGTTGATTTAACAAGATATGATGATTTGGGCTGCTCAATTCTCTTGCAAATGCCTTCCTCTACTGTTAGCAACAGGCCTTAATTTGTACTCATTGGGTTCAATATTCTTGTGTAGTTTTTTGTCTGTTTAGGCTTCGGCCCAAGCGTCCCTCTTCACAATGAGACCAGAATGAGGGTTTTGGTGAGGAGAAATTTTTATATGTTCCGGTTATAATGAGGGGTCCTCAGTAGCCGTTCGATTAGACTATTGGATTGAACCCCTCATTGTATTGTAACCTCACAACATTTATAGAAGCTCGCCACTCTTCAACTCTCTCTCTCTCTCTCTGTTTCGTATTGTGGTGCAGCTGGTGGATCTCCGTCATCCATGGAAGTGCGACGGAGATTAAGAAGAGTCCATAAGAAACGAAAGGACGTGCTTACTATGTGCCTACATATATTCCCATAAACTACACCCACGTACGTTCCTACGTTCTTTGCTTTGCATTTTGCTCCTAATTTCCTAATTCCTATGCTGCGCTATTATATTACCTCAATCACTCCGAAACCTCATCTTCTTCCCAGATTGGTTCACATAAAAGATGGAGCCTGCATTCTAGTGACACCTGGGGCACAAGTCCCCACTCATCCCACCACGTGGCACGCATCTACCGGTGCATGCCCCTCTCCAGCTAATTAAGATTAGCTTCGCAGTGGTGGATGAATGAATGAACATATGATCTTTCTGTTCTTCAACATAATCTCGACTTGATCGATTGGATTTTTTCCTATTTTCATGGCCCTCTAAACACAAATTAACACTTTTTTTAACGTTTAATATTTTCACTGGAAAATTGTGTTAAATTTCCAAATCATTAGTTTCAATATGCCTCGTGTGGTTTCACAGAATAAATATTTAATCTCGTCCATAATCTTCTTGTTTCAACAAGTGGTGAAGTTGTGGGCAAAGGCATGCGCCTGTGTAGCTCTCTCCATCTGCCTCATAGTTTGCATCCCCTCTTTGATCCTTGTGTTTCTACCCTTCTTCACTGCTTTTCTGTGGGCACTTTTTCTTTGTAAGATCTTGTGTTTTTTCAGATTGTGCCCGCAATTTAGATTTCTAGAAATGAAAATATTCTTCAATTACTTGTCATGCACTGCAACAAAATTTATAGGCAGCAGCAGCAGCAGAAGCAGCACATCCAATTCCGAGTGTGATTATAATCACAAGATTAATAATAATAATAATAATAATGAGTTAATAGCCAAGTCTCTTGAGGATAAGCAGGAGAGCGTTGACTTGGATCCCTCTGAGCTTCCATGTCTGTATGAATCTGATTTTGATATTGAAGAAGATCATCAAGAGATCAACGGCGAAAGAAGGGTCAAGGAAAGGACGGGTCATATTCGCACTTACCATGAGGAAGGCTCATGGCAAGTTGTGGTTTCTAAGCCTGCCCCGAGCAAGAAGAGAGAGCCTCAATCGGTATGTATGTGTTCAATAATATACAAATATATTCATTATCTCAGTTGATAATTTCATGTTGTGATTAACTTCCCAATTAAATATGGATTAATTATTGTTCTGTTTTAATTCTTTTGGAAACAGTTCAATGATGTTTTGTCGTTTTGGAAATGCAAGGAGAAAGGGCAGGAGACATAGAAGGAAAAATCCAACATCTCTTGTGGAAAGATTGTATAGCTGGCTAGGACTTGTTGTCTTTTTTGACATTGTGCAGTAATGTTTAATGGATCTCCACCTTTTATATGATTGTTCCCTATTTTGACTCTTCCTAGCCTTTCTTAATCAGCGCATTTCCCTAATTCTTCTAATCAAGCTCTGGGAGTTTCGAACCTTTGTTCACAGAGCTTGAGGCGAAAGAGAGCTCAATATAATTATAATATATTGTATATTATATAGGCGTTTTAACAGAACTTAGAGAATAGAGACGGGGTTTTTTTATAAAAAAAAGAAGCAATATTCAATCATATTATTTAGATTTAAACAGCTTACGCAACTTATATAAACTAATAAGAAAAAGAACCTTTCATCACTTGATTAATCGAACCTAACTTTGTGTGCTGAAGAGAAAAACTTTGCTGCGGCAACCATGGTTGCCTCTGTCCCAGAACTTATTGTAACAGATTTTTCCCTCCTTACATTTTCATCTTTACCAGCTGATGATGAAACAAAGAAGCATGAACTGATCAATGAACTCAATCTTGTTGAGCCCCTGATCTCTTTCTTCTTGTCCTTGACCATCTTGCTTGTCAAATATTCGACTTGCATTATGTATCAGATGAACAGAAGCAGAATTCGATGAATATGATGTATAGAAACAGTAGAGGTTTTTAAACTTGTAACTAGTTTATGTTGTTGATTTGTTTCTTGAGTATTATGAAACCCATCTGCGCCGTTTGTTTTATAATCTCCGGTTACTTGCTGGTCAAGTTGAATTCAGTATAAACTTGACTTGATTGGTTCTGAGGGAAGGAAAGATCCCAGTACACATTGGTAGATTGTGACGTTTGCTTGGAGACCAAGTCTTAAACTGCAGGTGGCAGTCATATAGACATAATCCAAATCTCAGGAGATTGTACAGAAGTCAACATTACTTTTTGAAAACAAAGTACAAACGTGTGACAAAGATAGACACAAGCGACAAACACTCGTCTTGAATGAATTGAATAGTCTTTGTTAATGAAAGAAGAAGACTGAATGAATGAAATTGATGAGCAATTGCAGACCACTACGTGTTCAAGAATCTATATTGATTAAGTTCAGAACGAACTTTTCTGTCAAAACTATTAGCAACATATTATTTTTTTTCTCGTGAAGGGACTAGGAAGTTCATAAGAGGTCTTCTTCTTTGTCTTTATTACGATATTTTTTTTTATTTTTTATTTTTAAAAGATCAAGGTGTGTGTGACTCACTTTTTTGATTAATTGATTTCGGATCAAGCTCAAAATTTGAGAAACATATCATACCTACCACTCTCGTTTAATGTAGGAACTTAATGTGACCCACTTGTTTGACCAATTGATTTCCGATCAAGTCCAAAATTTAAAAAACATCATAATATAATGAGAGAATTCATTTGGTGAATCGATCTTTACAACTTTGTCTACATTTTAAATGAGCCGTCGACCTCTAGACATCTTCTGGGCTGGGGCCGACTGAAACTTTTGGACCCAAAACATCAAAATCATAATTTTCCCCTCTTGAACGCCATCTTTTATGTCAATTTGATATTTTAATGTTAAATTTCACGATATTATTGTCTTATATAGATAAGGATGACTTGGCTTGAGTTTCAACATGGGCTGCACTATTTTAATGGGTCAAGTCAAAGTCCAACAAGGCTGCAGCAAGCCGAAGTCGTCTGCATAGCTTCTAGTACTTTTCCACCAAGAATGGCATTGGCATCGATCCATGATTTCACTATATATATCGATATCACTGCTACTCATCTAATTAATGTACACAAATCTCTCGAAAATAACAAGCTTCAATATATTTGCCTTGTTCTTGCTGCTCTTAAAATGGCACTGTCCTTCTCCACTAAGAATACAACCCCCCAGAAATACCGCGACTTCATAGAATCTCTGCGACAGCGACTCACAGCCGGACGATCTAAATCACACGGTATCCCGGTGCTGCCTCGAAGAGAAGATGTGCCAGACGCACAACGCTTTCTTCTTGTTGATCTCACAAACTCTGGAAACAATACCATCAGACTCGCAATCGATGTAGTGAACGCTTACGTGGTGGGTTATGCTGCAGGTGGCCGATCCTACTTTCTTAAAGAAAATGCTCGTGAGAATCCGCCTCCAATCCACACCCTGTTCCGCGACACCACTCGGATGCCTCCTCTGGACTTCGACGGCAGCTACACCGGGCTTTCGCGAGCTGCGCAAGAAGCAGTACAACGGAATATAGCACGTGATCGTGCTCGTAACCCAGCAGTGGCAGGTCTGCATCCGAATACACCTATTCTTGAGCGGATACCTCTGGGACGCAATGAACTAGATGACGCCATCAACCTGTTGCGCTTGGCACCATCCCAATCCGACCAAGCCGTAGGGTTTATAGTGGTAATTCAGATGATCTGCGAAGCGGCAAGGTTTCGGTTCATTGAGGGTCTACTCCGCAATAGCATGAAGGATGTCTACGATCCCATTATACCAGGCCTTGCAATTCGGAGCCTGGAAACCCATTGGTCTGATCTCTCTGAAGAGATCCAGAGGGTTCCGGCCAATCAAACACAATTCCACAAGGCTGTTGTGCTCCATAATATCAGAAATGAACGCGTTGAAGTACGCAGTGTTGACTCAGACGTTGTTCGGGGTGTCGCTATGCTGCTCTACGACCGAAACCAAAATGCCAATCCTGGACCTTCAGCAAAAAAGCCTCTGTTAAAGAATCTAAAACCTCACATCGGAAAACCCACAAAATAAATACAACATATATAATGAGTGGTTCCGGTAGGATGTGCTTATAGTTGTGGACAATGCGTCTCTTTGAAATACGTTGTCCTCATGGATATTACTTCAACTTAGTTGTA